TTTATCCACGACTATTGTATAATGTACCCATTATACGTCTGTTTGCTCGACCTTAATAATACCCATTAATCACGGCAGTGATTAATGAGTCATTAATCACTACTGTCAGATGCTTCCTTAATTTAGCTATAATATTATATTGTTCTGCTACAAACAATCCGTTTTTAAAATTTTATCGTGTAAACCACTAAATATTTTCAATTCAGTGCTGTACATTTAAAAAAAAAATTAAAAAAGTGAATTTTCCTAGACCGGATTCGAACCCGGGACCCGCGGTTGGAAGGGAAAGAGCATCTACACTGAGCCATCAGCGACTTCATTTGTGCGAGTCGTATATCTGTTTCTTAACATACCATGTTTTTCGAAACATTTCAAAAAAAACTTCAACAAAAATATTTAGTAGTCGTGGATAAAGTATAGTATTCTACTCCCGTATAATGGGTATTATTCACTCGGTGATTTAGGCCACTCGCCTGCGGCTCGTGGCCGTAAACTTCACCTCGTGAATAATACCCATCATTATACGCTCGTTGAATAATATACTATTATTCAAATTTCGTGAAACTGCATGTCAATTATTGAAACTCGATTTAAGGTGTAGTAGCTTAGCTAGTAGTGAAAAAAATACTATATAAACCACGGTAGAGAAGAGTGCCATTACCTATACTTTCGTGTATAATGTACCTACTATAACATATTATGTTTAATTTTTGTATGTTTTTTATATTTATTTTATGTAAGTTCGTAGTAAAAAAAAATTGTTTTAACAGCAGATACCTGGAGGGGTAACAAAATCTACGCAGTTACCTTAATGTAATAGTTGTTTTTGCTATACTTACTGACCTTATCCAAAAAAATAAGAAAATACAAACATCCGGAAGTCATCAACATAATATTTAAATATAATTTTATTTTCTTGCGGTATGAACATTGGTAATGTATAAACTCAGCACGAGACTCTAGTTCCTGCTGGGATACCTTGGCACTCCATCTTCTTTTCCCCACCAGTCACGTTAATGTCAGACCAATGCCAATCCGAAGCATTTGCTACAAGAATGTATATGTTAACACCAGTTTTGTCAACGGTGCCTGAAATATTCTTTAGAGTGAGATGAGAAATCGGCACACCACCAGTCGGTACGCCTTCTTTAGATCCATAGTCACCCTGCATGATAATGCCGTAGTTGTGGATATTCTTCAGGACTATATTTTGATACGTGATGTCGGACACGGATCCTGTTTGTCCATATTTGGTTTTGATCCTGACTCCGTTGTCGGAATCGACGATTTGGCAACCGTCGACCAATACTCCTTTAACTTCACTACCACCGCCCACGGAACCTATAGAAATACCATGACCGCCAGAGCAGTAGTTGTTTAAGAAGTAGGTGTTTTGTCCAAAGTTTATCGCCATGCAATCGTCTTGGTTGTAAACGGTGCAATGCTGTATGGTGATGTTGTTGTTGGAATTCAAATTGAATGCGTCGGTGTTATGACCGGCCTTATCCTTGTCTCCATCCTTGTCGTCGATAGTTATGTATTCTATCACGGAATCGACGCATCGGCTAAGTAAGACTGCATTGATGGGGGCATTCTTAATATGCAAATTGCGAATAACAGAGTTGGTTACGGTTGCCCTCAAAAACTTCGGCTTGACTTTACCTCCATTTCCTCCCAGACCATCCCACCACAGAGCACCTCTGCCGTCGAGCACATGATTATCGGCACCGGTGATCTCCACATTCGTTCCTTTAATCTTAATTAATGGTCCCCCCCATTCTGAATACTCCCAAGCGAGGGTACCTTGAAATATGACCTTGGTACCTGATTTAAGGCTGGTTAAATCCAAAGTTACTCCATATGGAACGATTATTCCGTCGATGATGATATCAGAACATTCATTTTGGGCGTTTTTGATGTGGTCCGCGTTGTATTTTGAAATGGTGCAGGAAACGGCAGTGACGTTTTGTGATGCCGAGTGGCAGGCTACTGCTGTGAGTAGTAGGACGAACAGCCCAAGGAAATGTCCCATTTTATACTGAAAAAGAAAATTTATCTGTTATAGCTGATTTGCTCTGACAAGTTCCTCATACAGCTACAACGGACGTTACAATCAAGTCCGTAGCAGATGAACACAAATAGAAAATTAATACATTTCCTTGAACAAGTAGAAAATTACTATTTTTTACATGGAAAAAATGTAAAGGCTACGTTGCCATTTCTTATTTATTATTCTTTATACATAAAAAACACATGATGAAGTAAACAAACACGTGAACAGATGTCTTAACCTCACTATTTATTTGTTGGCACTGCTGAATTCATAAAGAAATCGACGAGAGTTGGAGCATGATCTACTTCATGAATTCTTAAAGATATTTGACAACAGATTTGTTGGATATATTACACTTGTTCTACTTATTAGTTCATGAAGAAACTCGCAATGTAAAACAACAACAATGCTGTGAAATTAAAAGTAATAAAAGTGAACATACCTTTAAAATGCTTTTGTCAAATCAGTAAGTGAAAAAATAAGGTGCTCCATTTTATAATAAAACTCTTATCGGTTAAAAATAACATATTTATTGTTTATAGCACTTGATTGATAACATTTTTCATCTTATAAAAGAAATGTCGCGCTTTAAATAACTTTATTAATTGTGTACAGGGTGTTCAGGAATGGATGAGTAATTTCTTGGATATGTGTATTGCAAAAATGTCAGAAGTTTATTATATTTTTCGATTTTTCGTTATAACTTTTTTGTTTCTCAGTAAATTTCGATATTTTTTTAGTAAAAGCTACGTTATTTGAAGTTATTTCAACTAATAATTCAATTTATCGATAACTCCTTCAGGTACTCGGGAACAAGACCTTTTGAAAATCGTGTTCCAAAAAAAAAGTTTACCTACAGAGATCTATTTTTTTTACATTTTAAGGCATTGCGTTTTTTACGCTAAAGATGTACTTGTTTGTTGTCGACACAATGAACCGTTTCTTTTTTGTATCGATATAGAGTAGGTAGGTACACCGTTTCAATAAAAAAAAATATACGAAAATTTTAAAACGGCGATGGAAATTTAAAAAGTAGGCCTGTATAGTTTTAAGTAGGCCTTTTTAGGAACCGGAAAACGAAAAAGTTGCTATTAATAATCAATTTTGGATCAGGTCTACAAAAAATTTAGAATTTTTATATTTTAATAATTTTTCCTCAATATTCATCAGAATTTTTGCCTAAAAAAAATGTTGTCTGTGTTTAAAAAAAAAAATTAAGTATTTTGTTGGAACGTTTTGACGACATGAGGAAATAATTTTTTTAGATTATAGATTCTAGAGAGCTTCAAACACTATCCATTTTGCCACTTTACTCAAAATTTTGGCTAACTTTTGATTCTAGTTTACAACTTTCGTTAGCCATATTTTTTCATGTCAGTAGAAATAAGAGCAATTTGCTTATATAAAATGGGAGGTTTAAGGTTTCAAAAGAAATATGCTGATTTTTCAAACAAAAAATCATTTTCAAAATCGTATTTCAAAACATCCGAGAAATATCAAAACAATTACATTATGAAGTCAACAAAACAAAATAGTTCGCGAAGGAAAGCTTTTTACAATATTAATCATATTACTTAAAATTCAAAAATAACGTTGCCTAATAAAAAAAGATATCCAAAACATAATGTATATCTTATTAACATTTGATAGATAAAATTTGATTAACACCAAAATAATAAATGAGTCCTATAGCTTATCTATTTAAGAAATAATTATTTTAGTGTGTTTAATCGTTTTTAACTCTACTTTTTGTGTAGCCGTTTTACCTGATAAAAAAGAAAATCTCTTGACATCTATAAAGAAAAAAATAATAAGTTTTCTCGCGACGTCAAAGGAGTACATAAATATTATTGCATTTTTTAGATGGGTTTTTTTAATGGAACCCTGTATTTGTCGTCTTTTGGATTCCTTCATTTTTGTTTGAAATCGTACTCTATTTTTTTTATATGCTATGTATTTCCAGTAGCTGGGTTCTCTTGTTGGAACTAAATAACATTACTATTATTATTATTTATTTTCTTGCAATATGAACATTGGTAATGTATAAAATCAGCACGAGACTCCAGTTCCTGCTGGGATTCCTTTGCAGCTCACTTTCTTTTCCCCACCAGTCACGTTAATGTCAGAAAAATGCCAATCCGATGCGTTTTCTACAAGAATGTATCTTTGTCAACGGTGCCTGAAATATTCTTTAGAGTCACATGGGAAATAGGCACACCACCAGTAGGTACACCTTCTTTAGACCATAATCCCCTTGCATGGTGATGCCGTATTTATGGATGTTTTTCAGCACTATATTTTGATACGTGATGTCGGACACGGATCCTGTTTGTCCATATTTGGTTTTGATCCTGACTCCGTTGTCGGAATCGACGATTTGGCAACCGTCAACCAATACTCCTTTAACTTCACTACCACCGCCCACGGAACCTATAGAAATACCATGACCGCCAGAGCAGTAATTGTCTAAGAAGTAGGTGTTTTGTCCAGAGTTCAACGCCATGCAGTCGTCTTGGTTGTAAACGGTGCAATGCTTTATGGTGATGTTGTTGCAGGAATTAACGTTAAATGCGTCAGTGTTGTGACCGCCTTTAGTGTCTCCATCCTTATTGTCGATGGTTATGTACTGTACCACGGAATCGATGCAACCATGTACTGAGAACGCTTGGACGGGAGTATTTTTAATGTTTAATTTGTGGATGACGGAGTTTGTTACGGTGGCTTTCATGAAGTGAGGCTTGATTTTGCCTCCGTTTCCTCCCAAACCATCCCACCACAGCGCACCTCTGCCGTCGAGCACGTGGTCATCAGAACCGGTGACCTCTACGTTGGTTCCTTTAATTAACAGTAACGGTCCCTCCCATTCTTCGTACTGCCATACGGTGGTACCTCGGAATATCAACTTGGCACCGGTTTTAAGTTTGGTTAGATCCAGAGTTACACCATATGGGACGATTAGGCTGTCGATGGTGATTTCAGAGCATTCACTTTGGGCTTGGTTGATGTGGTCCTCGTTGTATTTTGAGATGGTACAGGAGGCGGCGGTGGCGTTTTGTGACGCGGAATTGCAGGCTACTGCTGTGAGCAGTAGGACGAAGATCGCAACAAAATGTTCCATTTTATACTGAAAAAGAATATTTATTTGTTACAGCTGATTTGCATTGACATGTTTTTCATGAATTTGTTTGAAGCGTAAATGGCTACTACCGGCATTTCAACCAAGTCCATAGTAGATAAAGACAAATAGAAAATGAACAAATTTCTTTGAACATGTTTAATATTGCTATTTTTTTATATACTTGTAAAAAAATGTATTCCTGCTATGAAGCCAGTTATCATCCTTTATAAAAAAAAGAATATGATGAAGCAAACTTGTGAACAGATAAGTTAACCTCACTATTTATTTTTTGTCACTGCTGAACTTTATGAAGAAATCGACGAAAGTTAGAACATGATCAGATTCAGGAAGAACTTCATGAATTAATTCAAAAAATTATTTGACAAGAGATACACTTATATTCAACTTATCCATGAAGTGACTTTATGAATTAGTTCATGAAGAAATTCGCAATGTAAACAGCTATAATGCTGTGAAAATAAAAATAATATAATTCCACATACCTTCAAAGTTTCGTCAAATCAGTGAGGGAAAGAATAAGACGCTCTATTTTATAATAAGATTCTTATCAAGTCAATCAATTTCTATTAAAAATAACATATTTATTGTGTACGACACTTGATTGATAATATTTTTCATGTTGTAAAAGCTATGTCGAGCGTTAATAAACTTTAAAAGCTGTATACAAGGTGTCCAGGAAATGGTGGACAACATCTAGGATACAGGAATTTCTTGAAATTAAGAGTTCAAAATTGATATTGCGTTGCAATGTTTTTGTTTCCGATTAAATATGGACAATTTGTGGGTAAACGTTCTGTCATTAGAAGCTTCTACTTTTTACAACGCACCATTTTCGAAACAAACGTATTTAATTGTAAAGGTATCGTACTATTTACTACATACCTACTATAAAATAATATTTAGTATTACGAAGTAATTTTGCTATATAAATAACAAGTTCTTGTTTTCTGTATTTATTTCTATTAAAATTTGTATAAAAATTAGGCCAATCAACAGAGCAAAAAAAAATTATATCTTGACAAAAATACTAACTGCATACCACCTGTGCCATCATTTAAAAAACAGTCCGTAGATATACTCTGATGTGCTTTCGACTCGCAACTCTCATTAATTAATTTGTTATTAACATTTTAGTGCAAAAATCAGTTGAACCGGAAAATTCGGCATTTTTTTCATATTTGTCGTTTTTGAGATCCTCCATTTTTGCTTGAAATCGTACTGGGTTTTTTTGTTGGAAATAAATGACATTACTATTATCATTATTTATTTTCTTGCAATATAAACATTGGTAATGTATAAAATCAGCAGGAGACTCCAGTTCCTGCTGGGATTCCTTTGCAGCTCACTTTCTTTTCCCCACCAGTCACGTTAATGTCAGAAAAATGCCAATCCGATGCATTTTCTACAAGAATGTATATGTTAGCTCCCCCTTTGTCAACGGTGCCTGAAATATTCTTTAGAGTCACATGGGAAATAGGCACACCACCAGTAGGTACACCTTCTTTAGATCCATAGTCCCCTTGCATGGTGATGCCGTATTTATGGATGTTTTTCAGGACTATATTTTGATATGTGATGTCAGACACGGATCCTGTTTCCCCGTATTTGGTTTTAATCCTGATTCCGTTGTCGGAATCGACGATTTGGCAACCGTCAACCAATACTCCTTTAACTTCACTACCACCGCCCACGGAACCGATAGAAATACCATGACCGCCAGAGCAGTAGTTGTTTAAGAAGTAGGTGTTTTGTCCAGAGTTCATCGCCATGCAGTCGTCTTGGTTGTAAACAGTGCAATGCTGTATGGTGATGTTGTTGCAGGAATTAACGTTAAATGCGTCAGTGTTGTGACCGCCCTTACTGTCTCCATCCTTATCGTCAACGGTTATATATTCTATCACGGAATCGATGCAACCATTAACTGATACTGCATTCTTGGGGGCGTTTTTAATGTATAAATTGCGAACAACGGAGTTAGTTACAGATACCCTCAAAAACTTCGGCTTAACTTTACCTCCATCTCCTTTGCCATCCCACCACAGTGCACCTCTGCCGTCGAGCACGTGATTGTCGGCACCGGTGATCTCCACATTCGTTCCTTTAATTTTAATTAATGGTCCCTTCCATTCTGTGTACTGCCATACAATGGTACCTTGAAATATCACCTTGGTACCTGGTTGAAGTCCAGTTAAATCCAAACTTACTCCATATGGAACGATTATTCCGTCGATGATGATTTCAGTACATTCGTTTTGGGCGTTTTTGATGTGGTCCGCGTTGTATTTTGAAATGGTGCAGGAAACGGCAGTGGCGTTTTGTGATGCCGAGTGGCTGGTTACTGCTGTGAGTAGTAGGATGAATAGCGCTAGGAAATGTCCCATTTTATACTGAAAAAGAATATTTATCTATTATAGCTGACTTGCTTTGGCAAGTTCCTCGTAAACAGCTTCTACCAACGTTACAACAAAGTCCATAGTAGATAAAAACAAATAGAAAAAAAAAAAACATTTGCTTGAACAAGTTGAAAATTGTTTTTTTTACATGGTAAAAAAATAAACTCTAGAATGACATTGTATCACTCTTTATAAAAAAAACATGATGATGTAAACAAACACTTGAACAGATAACTTAACCTCACTATTTACTTTTTGTTGGTACTGCTGAATTTCATGAAGAAATCGACGAGAATTGGAACATGAGCTACTTCATGAATTTTTATTCTAGATATTTGACAGATTTGTTGCATATATTACACTTGTTCATGAAGAAATTCACAATATAAAATAGCAATAATGCTGTGAAAATAAAAATAATAAAAATGAACATACCTTTAAAGTGCTTTTGTCAAATCAGTAAGTGTCTTAAAGAATAAGGTGCTCCATTTTATAACAAAATTCTTATCGGTTAAAAATAACGTATTTATTGTTTCTGGCACTTGATTGATAACATTTCTCATCTTATAACTACAAGAAATGTCGCACGTTACTTTAATAACTGTATACAGGGTGTCCAGGAAATGGTGAGTAATTTCTTGGATATGTGTATTGCAAAATTGTTAGAAGTTCTTATATTTTTTCGATTTTTCGTTATAACTTTTTTGTTTCTCAGTAAATTTGGATATTTTTTTAGTAAAAGCTACGCTATTTGAAACTATTTCAGCTAATATATTCAATTTATCGATAGCTCAGCAACTCGGGAGCAAGACCTCTAGAAAATCTTGATCCCAAAAAAAATTACGGATCTACTTTTTTACATTTTTAGGGCGTTGCGCGTTTTTTACGTGGAAAGACGTACTTGTTTGTTGTTGACACATTGAACCGTTTCTTTTTTGTATCGATATGAAGTAGGTACGCCTTTTCAATAAAAAAAGATACCTATACGAAAATTTTAAAACCGGTTATAGAAATTAAAAAAGTAGGCCCTGTAAAATTTTAGGTAGGCTTTTTTAGGTGTCGCAAAACAGGAAAGTTTCAAGTAATACTAAATTTTGGAAAAATCAAATAGATCTACAAACAATGTTGAATTTCTATATTTTAATAATTTTTCTTCAATATTCATCAGAAGTTTTGACTAAAAATAATTTAAAAAAAATTTTTGGTACGTTTTGAAAAAATTAGGAAATTTCAAAAATTTTTTTTAGATTCTAGATGTTTCGAAATTTCAAAAATGTCTTCGCCAATAATTTATATAGCTTCAAACACTTTTTATCCATATAATATACACTTCTCACATCACCTTAACATTTCGATCTACAATTCAAGATTACGTTATGCTTTGCATAGTCCAATGACAAATTTGAGATAATTGTTTCACACAAACCAATTTTTTTTCGATCCAGTTTTTATTTTATCCACGATATTTTTCCTTTGTCGCTTTACTCAAAATAAAATTTTGAATAACTTTTGATTCTACTTTATAACTTTCTTCGGCAATATTTTTTTCATGTCAGTAAAAATATGAGCAATTTGCTTATTATATAAATTGGGAGGTTTAGGTTTCAACGCTGATTTTTCAAACAAAAATTAATTTTCAAAATTGTATTTCAGAACATCCGAGAAATATCAAATCAGTTACATTATGAAGTCAACAAAACAAAATAATTCGCAAAAATGATTAATCATATATAAAATTTAAAAATAACTACCTAAGATAACGAGATATAAAGTATACATATCTTATTAGCATTGGATAGACAAAATTTGATTAAAACCAAAATAATAAATATGTCCTTTAGCTGATATATTTAAGAAAAAATTATTTCAGTGTTTAATTGTTTTTAACTCTGCTTTTTGTACATCTGGTTTACCTGATAAAAAAGAAAATCTCTTGATGTCCATAGTAAGCTGGAAATCTATCTAACTTCATCTTTAAAATAGGAAAAATTAATATTAATTTTATATTTAAATGTCTTTATGTACAGTGTCAATTACATAACTCCTTATCTGTTTTAATTTTCTATTTAGAAAGAAGTACATAAAAAATATTGAATATCATTTTTTTTTGGATTCCTCCATTTTTGTTTTAAATCGTACTCTATATTTTTATATGCTATGTATATATTTCATGTAGATTATTCGAAATAAATAACGTTACTATTATCATTATTTATTTTCTTGCAATATAAACATTGGTAATGTATAAAATCAGCAGGAGACTCCAGTTCCTGCTGGGATTCCTTTGCAACTCACTTTCTTTTCCCCACCAGTCACGTTAATGTCAGAAAAATGCCAATCCGATGCATTTTCTACAAGAATGTATATGTTAGCTCCCCCTTTGTCAACGGTGCCTGAAATATTCTTTAGAGTCACATGGGAAATAGGCACACCACCAGTAGGTACACCTTCTTTAGATCCATAGTCCCCTTGCATGATGATGCCGTATTTATGGATGTTCTTCAGGACTATATTTTGGTAGGTGATGTCGGACACGGATCCTGTTTCCCCGTATTTGGTTTTAATCCTGATTCCGTTGTCGGAATCGACGATTTGGCAACCGTCGACAAATACTCCTTTAACTTCACTACCACCGCCTACGGAACCGATAGAAATACCATGACCACCAGAGCAGTAGTTGTTTAAGAAGTAGGTGTTTTGTCCAGAGTTCATCGCCATGCAGTCGTCTTGGTTGTAAACGGTGCAATGCTGTATGGTGATGTTGTTGCAGGAATTAACGTTAAATGCGTCAGTGTTGTGACCGCCCTTATTCTTGTCACCATCCTTATCGTCGACGGTTATATATTCAATCACGGAATCGATGCAACCATTAACTGAGACTGCATTCTTAGGGGCATTTTTAATATACAAATTGCGAACAACGGAGTTAGTTACAGTTACCCTCAAAAACTTCGGCTTGACTTTACCTCCATTTCCTCCCAAACCATCCCACCACAGGGCACCTCTGCCGTCGAGCACGTGATTGTCGGCACCGGTGATCTCCACATTCGTTCCTTTGATCTTAATTAACGGTCCTTCCCATTCTGTGTACTGCCATACAGTGGTACCTTGAAATATCACCTTGGTACCTGGTTGAAGCCCGGTTAGATCCAAACTTACTCCATATGGTACGATTATTCCGTCGATGATGATTTCAGAACATTCCTTTTGGGCGTTTTTGATGTGGTCAGCGTTGTATTTTGAAATGGTACAGGAAACAGCAGTGACGTTTTGTGATGCCGAATGGCAGGCTACTGCTGTGAGTAGTAGGACGAACAGCGCTAAAAAATGCCCCATTTTATACTGAAAAAGAAGATTTATCCGTTATAGCTGATTTACATTGACAAGTTCTCATGAATTCATTTGAAACGTAAATAGATACTACCAACATTGCAACCAAGTCCATAGTAGATGAAGACAAATACAAAATGAAAATATTTCCTTGAACAAGTTGAAAATTATTATCTTTTTAAATAGACACATGGAAAAAAAATTGTAATCCTACAATACCAATTGCACATTATTTATTTATTTATTTGATACACCATTCAACACAATATATCCATTTACTGGAATGGGTGGGAACACGATTAGTATAAAAAAGAGAAATGACAGTAACAATTGATAAAACAATTCGAAGAAAAAAAACTAAAAGTAAATTCAAAAGTAATAAAACTTAATAAAGTATTTTACATTAGTTAAAATAACAGTAGTATAAAACAGTCAAATGCTTTAGTAAGTTGCACATACACAAGCTAAAATGAAAAATGCCAATAAAGACACAACATAAAATGAATAACAGTATAAGCAAGAGCCAATTAAAATAAGTTCATTATTGATTTTATGTTACAAGAAAAGATGTCAGTTATGAAGTAAACACGTGAACAGATAACCTAACCTCACTATTCTTGGCACTACTGGACTTCATGAAGAAATCGACAAGAGTCAGAACATGATCAAATTCATGAAGAACTTATTTGACAACAGATTACACTTGTTCGACTTCTTCACGAAGTGACTTTATGAATTAGTTCATGCAGAAAGCGCAATGTAGAACAGCTAGAATGCTATGAAAATAAAAATAACATAAATGTACGTACCTACCTTTCGAGTGCTGTTTGTCGAATCAATCAGTGGAAGCATCAGGTACTCTATTTTATAGCGTAACTCTTATCAAATCAATGTCGATAAAAAATTCATATTTGTTGTTTATAACACTTGACTAATAATACAGGGTGTTTCGTATAAGAACAGACATATCAAATTTGGTACGTGGTGTGAGTGTACCAATCTCCAGTAAATAGAGTTCAATTGCAGCATTTTAAAGGGATGATGCAGCATTAAAATGTAACAAAACTTTGTAACCCATTGGCGGACTTAAAAAATGATTACTTTATTTTATGGGGATTTTAATTCTTAAACTTTTCTTACTCTTGTCAGTTTTCAAAAAACTTTGTCGGTTTCAACAAAAATACGAATAACTAATAATACGTATTGTAGCTGTTATTTAAAATAATCGAAAATTCAAGTTAGCTGTGAATTTAAACATTAAACTTTATGATCAATCTATGAGCAAAAGTAAGAATTTTCTTACGGCCTAACCAATACAAATTAACATTTTTTCATCATCTTTTTAAATGAAAATCAAAATATCAAATATGACTTAATTATGTATTACACTACACTAACCACCTTCTTATCAATGAATTTAATTTCAATGGAACATTTTTTTGTACCTACGCACTTAAAAATATAAGATAATAATTAATAAACTATATTGATATAATATCACTTGTAAAATATCACAATATGTGACAAACAATAGAGTACTTTTTAAAGAGAACACATGTGATGTTATTGAAACGACAATCCCATAAAAGATATTTAACAATATATTGTGAAAATGCTTTATTTTTTAAATGAATTCGAATTGAAGTAATAGTAGAACAACCTTCCTACTCTAGATGAAATTGTTGAATGAATATGCAGTTATGGCTGAAGTAAAAAATGCAGGGTAGTGTTTGTTTATAGATTAGTTCTTTTCTTTTCTGAATACTTTTCTCGCTTCCTTTGTTTTCATATTATCCGAAGAGATAAGCAAAGAGTAGGTAGACGGCATGGTCTCAATCTTTGAGAAAAATTTAACATTGAAAACTGCATTACGATATCTCGATTCATTTAAAAGATACATGGGTTTCTAGTTTTTGGTCGTTTTGTTTGTCGACAGCTAATAACTTATAATCTGTATTTTTTTTTAAAAGGAGCGTTCTTCTAGTTTTTTGCGTAGGATCTAGAAACATATGCCACATTTTTCTGCAACTTCTAGTTTTTCAGTTATATTATGTATAACACCAATTTTTTCATCAGAGTATCTGTTCCTTGATGCAATAAAGTGTGCTGTATCAGTATCCATAAAAAAATAATCAGGTTTCGAGGGGGTCAAACTATGGTGACCTTGAATTTGACCTTGAAGACTATTATCAAGGTCATTTATTTCGAACAAAAGTTGTCAGGTTTCAGAGGATCAAATGACCGTGACCTTGAAATTAACCTTAAACTCAATTATCAAGGTCGTTTTAAGGTCAACCTTGCTTTTTGAAATGGAAACCCATATTTTCCTTAGTTTCGCATTCTGCGGGGAAAAATACGTAACTTTTGTATGAAACATTTTTCTTGAAAAGGCTTCCTGTAATCAATATACGAGTTTCCATTTAAAAAAATCAAGGTTGACATTGAAATGACCTTTATAATTGACTTGAAGGTCAAATTTAAGGTCACCATAGTTTGACCCGAATTTTGTCGATTTTTTTTTAAAGACGAATTAAAAAAATTATGGGCCTGGTACATTAAAATGAGATACCCTGTATCTATTATTTAAGTTCGTTATAAATTTCTGCAGGAAATTAATTTTTGGAATTTGGTTGCGAAATTATTTCTAGAAAATTGCTCATAAATTTATTGTAAATGCCCGTTAAAATTCATAATAATTTTCAAATATTTAGTCGTAAGAAAGATAAAGAAGGGTTAGTACTTTATACATTGTTTTTCTCTATACTTCATTACGGTATAAAGAATTTTAACTTTACTTTTAAATAACATCCATAAAAACAAACAACTATTTTGTAAAAAAACAATAAACACTCGTGTTTTACACCACGACCAGGGAGACTACGACCTTTACATACATATACAATGGACTACTATTATTTATATTTTGTGACGTTTGTAGATCTGGAAGCCCCTAAATAATAATGGTTTGTTTACGCCGTTTAAACGACACTTGTAGCTGTACNTTCTAGTTTTTGGTCGTTTTGTTTGTCGACAGCTAATAACTTATAATCTGTATTTTTTTTTAAAAGGAGCGTTCTTCTAGTTTTTTGCGTAGGATCTAGAAACATATGCCACATTTTTCTGCAACTTCTAGTTTTCCATTTAACACCAATTTTTTCATCAGAGCATCTGTTTCTTGATGCACATTGATGTGCGTATCAATAAAAATAATAGTCCATTAAATTGTACAAATATAGAAATTTTAGAAAAGGGAAAATTTTATAACAAACCAAAACTTATGGCGGTTTGGTTTTAGGGGGGGGAGGAGTATTTTCTGTATTGGGGTATTAGTGTACCAAATTTCAAGAAAATCTTGCAAGACGTTTCATACGAAAAAATTTTTTCTTGATCTTGAAATGACCTTGATAATTGACTTTAAGGTCAAAATCAAGGTCACCATAATTTAACCCCCTCGAAACCTGATAACTTTTGTCGATTTTTTCTTTATAAAAATCGAATTAAAAAAAATTATGGACCTGGTACATTAAAATAGGATACCCTGTATCTACTATTTAAGTTTGTTATAAATTTCTGCAGGAAATTAGTTTTTGGAATTTGGTTGCGGTGTTAAAATATATTATTTCTAGAAAATTGCTCATAAATTTATTGAAAACGTCCGTTAATATTCGTAATAATTTTCAAATATTTAGTCGTAAGAAAGATAAAGAAGGATTAGTATACTTTATACATACATTGTTTATCTCTGTATTTCATTACAGTATAAAGAATTTTAACTTTACTTCAAAATAACATCCGTAAAAACAAACAACTATTTTGTGAAAAACCAATAAACACTCGTGTTTTACACCACGACCAGGGAGACTACGACCTTTACATACATATACAATGGACTACTATTATTTATATTTTGTGACGTTTGTAGATCTGGAAGCCCCTAAATAATAATGGTTTGTTTGCTCCGTTTAAACGACACTTCTAGCTATACCGATTACGTTTCAGCGATTTTATCACGATAACTGATTATCGTTAAAATTAATTTCAAATCAGTTAACTTGACAGTGCCTGACACAAAACATATAAATACAGTGCCTGATATCGCTCAGGCATCATTGACCATTGACTTAATCAGTAGTATACCTACCTATCGATTCTGTGATTTTTTAGTTTTGTGTGCTATTCTTGTTCGTTAAAATAAATCAACAGATAATAAATAATAGATAGTCATTAGTTCATCATGATAATAAGTGGAAGACGCGAAATTTTCACGTTTACATAGGGACATAGGGTTTAAATAGTATACAAAAAGTCGGTTTAGGCACATATCTAAGTTTAGGTATGTTGCGTCTCTCTCTTTTCCTTTCTCTCTAATCATTGAGTATATTTTGCTATAGATAAAGAGCGGAGGGAGTTGCGTTAGCCAATCACGTGACAGCGTTAAAGAGAAATATTATCCAAACCTTAGAACTAAACTAAAGTGATCGCATTAACTGTATCGAGAAAAAAAAAGACTACAAAATTATAAAAGAAGATTTATTGATAACAGTGTTCATTTTTTATATAATTACCTACAATCCTTCACAGTCCTGTGGTAATTAGTAGACGTCCTTTTTCCTATCTAAGTTATAAAAAAAATACAAATAAAAAACTGGTGATTCTGGTAAAATAAATAAAATTTTTCTGCAACCAAGTACGAAACAATATATTGCATGTTGCCTACCCAACAAAAATTCAAATGGAACTAACGACTCCGGCAAAATATAGAAAATTTTATAAATTTTTATACAGCTAATCATCTATTAGTAATGTATTAGGTAGGTATGTTTTGCGTAGCCAACAAAAATTGAAATGGAAATAAAAGGAAATAAATAAAAAAAATTAGTTTCGGGTTGGTCAGCGCCATAATAGTTCACCGGAATTTTTTCTGATTTTTCAGAACCCTAAAACTTTTTGAAAAAATGGATAGCCAAGGAAAATTGTCAAAAAAGTACTCATCTCATAAAGGTACCGGAGAATGCAACGCCATCTATGGTTCAATTAATTCACCTGTTAGTTGGCAGTTCTGCAGTTTTAGTGTATCTTCTCAGCGACAGATGGCGGCATGAAAATTTGGTACTATTTAGCGCAATTTGATTGGTCAATTGACATAATTGAGCGTTCCACTTCACTGAACCAATAATTGATAGGAATGATGTGTTATAATGGCACGACTTTTTTGATTTGCTTTCTTACTCTGGCAAGTGGCAACACTGATTGTTTTCATTATAAATCATTCCTGTCATCTGCTGTAAATATTTATTATTTACCGTCTCAGATTCAAGAAAATATCGAAAAACTGTATGTTTTTATCGTGTAAGTAATATACATGTATAACATTTGCTTTGTCTATTAATGAATTGTATATTTTTAGTTTATTGGAATGAAGAATACCGAGGATACAGATACTCCTGTTATGTGCGAGGTAGAACTAGCAAAACCGAAATTTATCGTTCACAAATTTGTGTCAGAAATAACAGAACATAAAATTGTATTCCAAGTAATTAAAATGATAGATTCATTATTCATCTATATCAATGACAAAGACCGTCTTCAGTTTAGCGATTTATCATTTGCTATGACAAATCGGTATGACAAATGCCCAACTGGTACTACGTTAATAGGCAACTTTTCCGAAGAAGTCTCAAAAAATATTGCTTGTAGAATCTCAAAAAAAGTTAACAAAGCAGTGTATTTGAGTTGTAACGTTGAGCAAGATAGATTGCTTATTCCTCTCATCGAGAAGAGACTGTATGAGGAAATTAAGTCGTATCCGGATAAATTTTAGGTTGTAATAATTGTGTAGAAATAAATAT